AGAGAGAGGGCTGGGAGGACTGTTCTCGAATGGAGAAGGTGTGGACTGATGTGGTGAGGAATGGGACTGTTCTGAAGGTAATTGTGTGGACTGGTGTGGTAAGGGGGCTGCGGTTGGACTAGCGGGTGGTGTGGGAGTTGTGGCCGCAGGACTGACACGTGGTGTGGACACAGTGGGCAGTGACTGGGATGACCGCAGGGGTGTGGGACTGTGTGTGGGACTGTGTGTGGGGCTGTGGGACACGGGTGAGGCACTGGATGTGGGGGCTGGGAGAGCTGGAAAATTGGATCTTGGCCTAACGGAAGAGGAAAACAGGGAAGGGGGCAGACTGGAGCTAGGAGAGGACGACTGGGCGGTTAAAAATTTACAGGGAAAAACATTTTCGTGAAAAACAACATCCCTACTAACATATACCCGACTTGTAGAGGGAGAAAGACACTGATACCCTTTGTATCCCGGAGCATAGCCAAGAAAAACACAGTGTATAGAGCGTGGTGAGAGCTTATTATGAGAGGCATCAATAAAATTTGGAAAACAAGGACAACCAAACACACGCAGAAAATTATAGTCAGGCACTTTATTAAAGAATCTCTTATACGGTGTGTCCCCATCCAAAATAGGTGTAGGCAAACGGTTAATAATAAAAGTGGCAGTGTAAAGGGCATCAACCCAGAAATGACTAAGAATAGAAGAATCAATCAATAATGTCCTAGTTAATTCCAGTAAATGTTTATGTTTGCGTCCAGCTACACCATTTTGAGCAGGGGTATTAGGACAAGATTTCCTAAATAAAATGCCTGAATTAAGAAAATGCTGCTGAAAAACAGAGTTATCAAATTCACCGCCTCCATCACTTTGAAAATTTTTAATTTTCATATTCAAAAGATTTTCAACTAGTTTTTGAAAATTAAGAAAATGAGTAAACACTTCAGATTTTCTACGCATAGGATACACCCAGGTATATCGAGAAAAATCATCAATAAAAGACACATAATATTTAAAACCAAGGTTTGAAATAACAGGAGATTGCCACACATCCGAATGAATCAACTCTAAAGGAGCAATAGTGTCATGAATAACATCATTAAAAGGAAGTCTGTGGGATTTACCCAACTTACAAGAAACACAATCATGATTAAAACTTGAAGAACTAGTAATGAATTTATTTTGCCTAAGAATACTAAGCACTCGATCACCACAATGCCCTAGACGCTTGTGCCAAACCGGACCAGGAACAACTCGGGCTCGGAACACAGTAAAGGGATAGACATGGTCTTTATTAGAGGCCTTATAAGATCTCATGATTGTATAATAAAGACCATGTCTATCCCTTTACTGTGTTCCGAGCCCGAGTTGTTCCTGGTCCGGTTTGGCACAAGCGTCTAGGGCATTGTGGTGATCGAGTGCTTAGTATTCTTAGGCAAAATAAATTCATTACTAGTTCTTCAAGTTTTAATCATGATTGTGTTTCTTGTAAGTTGGGTAAATCCCACAGACTTCCTTTTAATGATGTTATTCATGACACTATTGCTCCTTTAGAGTTGATTCATTCGGATGTGTGGCAATCTCCTGTTATTTCAAACCTTGGTTTTAAATATTGTGTGTCTTTTATTGATGATTTTTCTCGATATACCTGGGTGTATCCTATGCGTAGAAAATCTGAAGTGTTTACTCATTTTCTTAATTTTCAAAAACTAGTTGAAAATCTTTTGAATATGAAAATTAAAATTTTTCAAAGTGATGGAGGCGGTGAATTTGATAACTCTGTTTTTCAGCAGCATTTTCTTAATTCAGGCATTTTATTTAGGAAATCTTGTCCTAATACCCCTGCTCAAAATGGTGTAGCTGAACGCAAACATAAACATTTACTGGAATTAACTAGGACATTATTGATTGATTCTTCTATTCTTAGTCATTTCTGGGTTGATGCCCTTTACACTGCCACTTTTATTATTAACCGTTTGCCTACACCTATTTTGGATGGGGACACACCGTATAAGAGATTCTTTAATAAAGTGCCTGACTATAATTTTCTGCGTGTGTTTGGTTGTCCTTGTTTTCCAAATTTTATTGATGTCTCTCATAATAAGCTCTCACCACGCTCTATACACTGTGTTTTTCTTGGCTATGCTCCGGGATACAAAGGGTATCAGTGTCTTTCTCCCTCTACAGGTCGGGTATATGTTAGTAGGGATGTTGTTTTTCACGAAAATGTTTTTCCCTATAAATTTTTAACCGCCCAGTCGTCCTCTCCTAGCTCCAGTCTGCCCCCTTCCCTGTTTTCCTCTTCCGTTAGGCCAAGGTCCAATTTTCCAGCTCTCCCAGCCCCCACATCCAGTGCCTCACCCGTGTCCCACAGCCCCACACACATTCCCACACACAGTCCCACACCCCTGCGGTCATCCCAGTCATTGCCCACTGTGTCCACACCACCTGTCAGTCCTGCGGCCACAACTCCCACACCACCCGCTAGTCCAACCGCAGCCCCCTTACCACACCAGTCCACACAATTCCGGTAGGTCCTTATTGCTAACTGGTGAATTGATGAGCGCAAGTGATTCTGCAATAATTTTAATCTCCAAGAGATATTGGTCCATAGTTTGAGAATCCTTCTTTTTGATATGAGATAATAAGCGCTTCAATTCAATAGACCGGGCAAAACAGGCTGTCATAAACCGAGATTTTAATCTCTCCCATACTAAGTGTGAAAATTTTAGGTCATAAACCTCCATCAAAACATCCCTTGCAAGGGTAGCAAAAAGCCAAGACCGTATAGTTTGATCAATTTTAAGCCAGTGATGATAGTCAGGATTAGGAATTTCACATCTGGACGAGTCCAAAACAGTGGCAGAAGGCACTTGAATTGAGCCATCCAGGATTCCCAGTAAAGAATGGGAAACCAAGAATGACTCAAATTGGGTACGCCACGGTAAATAATCTTCCACAGCAGACAAGCGGGGTGGTAACAATATTCGTCACATTCGGTGTGGAAAACGTCAACTGTGATGATAAATTAGCTATTAGGCCTGGATTAGAGACAGAACCTGAGGCGGCAGTCTGTGTGGGTTGCTGTTTGGGGCTGATTCCCGCATGACCAGAGAAGGTTGGTCCGACAAAAGGCATGGACGAACTGCCGATGGCTGGGATGGTCGTTGACATCATAGGTGGCAGTGGTAGGCTGACTGTGGGATTCCAGGAGAAAGGTGCTGGCATATTAAACAACTGGTAGGAGTCAAGAGATGGAAATTGATTCAGCCGTTGCCTAAGAGACGGAGAGACGGTGCAACAGGGGACCGAAGATGATCAAATCCTGACGGCGCTGTGGAGAATGGTATTGAGGGTGCTGGAGACGAAAGAGCACTGCCAGACCCTACTTCGAATGAAGATGCCATGCCATGAAAATTGCTGACCACATCGGAGGAAGGCTGTATCTGCTGGACGGACGCCTGAGACGTCATGACTCCGGTGGTTCGCGACAGCTCCTGCTGAGAGGGCGCCGGCGTTGATGCTGCAGACGATGGTGTCGCGCCGTTCATTGTACGATCGAGAGAAAGAAGCCCTGTGCGTCTGATACCATATACAAAAGTATAATTTTGGTGAATAATGGCTTACCCTATTAGGGTGCCTTAGCATGGTATTTATATTAAAACAGAGTTATGGGATATTACAGAGTAAACCCTCAATATTACATTATTAAAAGCTTGGATCAATTTTAAAAAAATGAGCCTAAAAACTTCAATCTATGGTATATTCAAAATTCTTTTTATTTTTACATATGTAATATTGGTGTCATATGAAAGATAATAAAAAATCATGAATTTTGATATTTTTTTTAATAAAATTACAAATCAAAAAGTTATATCAATTTAAAAAAAGATTATTTTGGTTGGAGATTCATGAGTTGAGTACAATTCTAATTTCTACTAGCTAGTGTCTTTATGTAATCTGATTCGATTCAATTTTAGTGGTTGTTTTTACATAACTTTTAGAACTTATTATGTCTTTATTGACACTTTCAGTCAATAAATAAATTGTCCCTTAATTGCAGCATGAAATTAGTCTATAAAATCATGAGATCTTAATTTTAAATAGTGGACCTATTTTAAAAAAATTGAGCCTTAAAATCTCCATCTATGGTATATAAAAAAATCTTTTTATTTTTACATATGTAATATTGGTGTCATACGAAAGATAATAAAAAATCAAGAATTTTGATATTATTTTTATAAAAATCAAATTACAAATCAAAAAGTTATATCACTTTAAAAAATAGAGACTTTTCCGGTTGGAGATTCTTGAGTTAAGTACAATTCTAATTTCTAATCTAGAATACTTTGTAATTGTCAAAAAAAAGTCTAGAATGCTTCGTATATATATCCTTACGTAGTAATAACAAACTCTTATAACAATTCAAATTTCTAATCTAGAATTTAAAGGTTTGCTTGGAAGATGATACATGACAAGATTTTCCATAATTGTATCTCTCAAATGTATTATCTATAAAAGATAGATAGATATAGGCCTCATTTGGATAGTAGCGGGTCGCTGAAACCGCTGATTATTTTATTGGTGAAAATGTTGCAAAATGCGGCGGGTAGGGTACAATCCGCCGAAAACCAAACCACACCATAAGCTTCCTTCTCTAAAAAAAAAAGAACATACTATCGTATATCGTTGTATTTAGTAAATGAGGTCTGTCAATGGAAAAATCCCAACCCATATAAGTTCCTCCAACTAAAAATAAATAAGGATGTTTTTACTTAGACTGTAATTTACTGGTCTGATCTGGTCTGATCTGATTTCTTTATATTTTTATAACTATCCAAGTCTGGTCTGGTCTGATTTCTTTGAATTTTTATAACTATCCAAGTCTGGTCTGTTCTGGTCTGATTTGGTCTGGTCTGGGACAAATTACAGTCCAAGTATAAACATCCTAAATGCCCCATACATTTAGTCCAATCAGCACATATATAGCCCAATGCCCAAATAGCCCATACTGTCTTTATGTACGCGAGTACGTCATCTTACTCTGCCACTAACAGTTTTGATTCCTGATCCGCCACTACTCTCAACCGGACGACAACCATCTTGTTTGTGAAAATGAATCAAAGAACTTCCGCAGACAAAGAACAATGCACTGTTGCAACAAGAAGGTCTACTCGTTTTCATCCCAAAAATCAGCAAGAATCAGAAGATCCAAAGACTCCTGATATCAAACAAAGGGAAATTCGCAAAAAAAATCCAAATAAGAAGCCGGGGCAAGTTACAAGAGAGGCCATAGAAAAGTCCGGAGCTGCTATAGATTCCACAAATTCATTTCCTGCTGAAGTTGAATGTTCAACCAAATTTTCAAACCCCAATGGCTCCATTATTCCCTCAAGTTCTAGCACAGGGCCAAGAAGATCCTCAAGATTAAATTCGCAGAGTAGCCAAGCCGAGGATTTCACCAGCCTGAGACGATCACCGAGGGTTGCAGGCAATTGTAGCATTCGGAAACACTGTATTGATAATAATGAGAAAAGGGCCCCCCAGGATGATGGAGTAAAGGTCAGTATGCTTGTCACCTCATCAAATGAATCCATGGTTAATCTAGGGAAGAGGGTTACTAGGAGTTCTTTTCAGCCCCTGGCTGATGAAAGAAAAGCCAAATACTCTCCTCGTAATACTAAGAAAAAGCCCCCTCGAGGCTGGATTAGGGATTGTTCTGCGAAAAAGGAACAAAGGCTGAAAGTTTTGGACTCTCCTTCGAATAGGAACTCTGATTTGACTCTCAAACCTGATGGGGTAGATGCCAGTTCATCCAATAAATCTATGGTTAGTCTGGAGAAGAGGGTTACTAGGAGTTCTTCTCAGCCTGGGGCTAATAAAAGAATAGCCAAGCATAGTAGCAGAAGTGTTATGCCTTCTACCAGCAAGTTGGAAAAGATTGAAACGTCTCCTGCTCAATCCTCCTTAGAAGTTGCAATCAAGGGAAGAGATAAAACTGAGGAAATTATTGATTTGGGAGACAAAGACCGATGTGTGAAGAGGAAGAAAGCAAAGAGAGGAGATGGGCATTTTACTATAACAAATAATGGGTGTTGGACCAAGGAGCAAGAGCTGGCATTGCGAAGAGCATATATTTCTGCCAAGGCAACACCTCACTTTTGGAAGAAAGTTGCAAAGATGGTAATTTGCTGATACGTCTCATGTTAAATAATGAGCTTGTTGGTTACACAAAAATTGGTTCAATTGTGAGTGGATCGGCTGAATCGGGTGAATTACAAAAAAATACTTTTAAGATAAATTTTGTTTATAAAACCAAGAAAAGTTTATAATAAAAAACACTAAAATGATGACCCTCTTCAGCAATTTCAGCGATAAAAGCAAATCCAGTTTTATTTGTAATTCTTTCTAATCTTCCTTTAACTCATCGTATGGATTACTATTCCCACAAACTCATGATAATTTGTATGACAATGTTGCCTCATGAATTTTAGTCTCTAACTCACTGTGTTGATTATCATTTGGAGAAAAAATGCAAATATATGACGGAACATAAAAGTGACACTTTTAATTCTTCTACTATTATAATAATGACATTTTTGGTCATTCCTTTACTCTGGCAAAGTCGTAGTGGAAGGGCTTTAAGTGCCAATTTGATATTACTCAAGAGACTAAATGCGGGGTAACTTTGAAGTCGAGGACTAAAAATGAAAAATCAAAAGATATATAGACTATAAGTCACTCTCTAAAGCATTTACCTCTTAAGAAACCCTTCCTCCATATAGACCTACTTAATGGGCTGGTAATTTGAAAGAATGAAATCCAATTATTTGTTGCAGAGTTGTTGTTCTTTTTATGTGCTTTTGCTTTTAATATTGAACTTTCAACTATGAGTAAAAAGAATTGAAGAGATTTATTCAACAGGTGCCTGGGAAGTCAGCACAGGAATGCTTTGACAGGATACATTCAGATCACATGACCCCACCCCAACCCTGCCAACGTTCAAGGGCAAAACAGGCAACATCATTGCCTTTATCCTCTCTCAGCTCTAGCAAATTGCTTCAACCGGCTAATCCAAAACCAAAGAGACACATTTCCAAAAAAGCACTAAGAGAGATGTTAAATAAGCAGTGCAAGGTAGATAACCATACTATAGAAAAGGACCTCTACAGTTTACTTGAGGAGGAGTCAACAAAAACAACAGATTATCATCTTCTAACTAGCAGCAGTTCTGAAGTACTTACCCCTGAGATGAAGTTAGATCGCTCAAGTAACTTTGCACGGTTAAGTAACTTGGCGGGGACCACGACCACTCTCTTTAGCCCTCCTGTTTTAAAGCCGATCAAGAACAAAGCCTTGCATGACAGATACATTGATCAGTTGCTTTGCAGGGAGGCTAAGAGAAAAGCTGCGTTTATAAGAAAGTCGAAGCATAACCAAGTCAAGGATGAAGTAGATCAACAAAAAGTAGATGCGAAAACAATTCAGGCTGCAAAGAGTGCTCTCATCTTTGATGCAAGAGATGCTATCCAACAGTTCAAGAATGTGCAAATAAATCAGTTTGGAGATGCCTCTAGTGATGGGGAAGATGATGATGGTTTTGGTTACAATGATGATGATGATGAAGAGGACTGAGTTTGGGATGTTGCCTGTCTTTATTTTTAGACAAAAGTAGGAAGCTACTATTAGGTCTGACAGAGAGACCATAGTAGGATGCTACTAATAAGAATTGAGCTTTTCTCCTATCTCACCACTATTAGATTAACACCCCCAAGAAACTCATTTCCGATGGCTGGGCAGTTCTACCTAGCTTCTACCAGCCTTCTCTGCCGCAGGAGTATAAATTAGTACTAATGAGGATAGAAACAAAGGCTGTGTTATAGCCTGTCTCATTTCTTATATTTCTGTGCTCTACAATTGGTTTGTTATCTCCTAAAGGTGTAAACTTTGAAGGTATATATTGAGCTTCCAGCTCATATGTTGTAGTAATCTTTGTGTTATCTCCATAAAAAAGATTTAAAATCTATTTTTTCTTTTCTGTTTTCTTTTCCCCCGAAATGTGTACTCACTTCAAGCTTTAATGGATACAAAAGCCTGTCTGATAGATCCTCACGGTGTTCTTGATCGATGGGATTCTGACGCTGCTGATCCTCGTAGCTGGTCCATGGTTACTTGCTCTGCAGATGGTTTAGCTGTTGGACTGTAAGTTTTTAAATCTTTTTATTTTTTTAAAAACCCAGAATTTCTCTGCAATTTTATGACATGTTTAGGTTTTCTTGGAAAAAGATCAAATTTTATGGAACATTTAATTTTATCCTTTTTTTCAATTCTCCCCTATTTTTTCTTTCTTTCCAAAATTTCCATTTTTCTTTGCCATGAGATTTGCTGATTTCCAAACAGACCCTTATTTGATGGGGTTTGTTCATGTGCAGATGAACCCCAAGCCAGAGCTTATCTGGAAAGCTCTCTCCAAACATTATAAACTTGACCAACATCCAGACTAGGGCTGGGCATTAGTATCAAACGAAAACCATACTATTATTCGGTTTGGTTCGGTTAGGATGTGTTAATTTTTAATAATATATGAAGTTTTTTTTGAATTTCTTTAGTTCGGTTTGGTTGTTATCGGCTTCGATTCGGTTTAATACGATTTGGAAGAAATAGTACCAAACTCAAACCAAATTGCATACGGTCCGGTTTCGGTTCAGTTTAGTTCAGTTTGGTACGGTTCGGTTCGGTTAAACCAAACCGTTATGCCCACCCCTAATCCAGACCATGTAAGTGCTAATTTCTGAAGATCACAGTGCTTAGATGTAATTAAAATAATCATCGACGCTTTAGTAAGCTGTAAGCGATAATGTGATTGACCGATTCTTACAGAACAACAACATAACTGGACTCATCCCAGATGAGTGATAGACATATGAGTGGTCAGTCTATTAAATACTTCAATAGAGTCTATCAAAGGAGGAATAAGGGGGGTAGTTAGTAGTTAGTTAATAAGTCTGTTAACTAACTGTATACTTTCCCTGCGTGGAATATTAGCTACAAATAGAAAGTGAGATAGCTAAATAAGGCAGGTTGTTATTCAGTTGTTGGTTGGCTTGGAGAGTGGGCTTCTCGAACAGTCCCAGAGCTTGTACATCTACTTTGGTTCTCCCTATTGCAATAATATTCTCTTTCGATATGTTCTATAGTTAGATTTCTATAGAATTGTTGTTGAATTGCTTAGATTCATACCAGTGTTCTATCATAGATTGGACACCACCCTAATCTTCTATCTCTTGATCTTTCTAACAATCTTTTTACTGGGAAAATCCCTTCTCTGGGTGCACTCACAAAGGCTCAAGTATATGTAAGCATTTGTTAAACTTCAGAAATGGGGTGCTAAATTAATTGTCTAACGATAATAATAATGAAGTTTATTGTGTGAATTGGGAGACTCAACATCCGAGAAGCTGAGTGGGACCATGGCCCACCCTAAGTTCTGTAAACCCATTTTTATTTGTTTAAAATTTAAGTGGAGAAGATATGTATTATTTGAATTTATTTCTTGGGCCCACCTCAAATTCAAAATTTCGGGTGAACTCACAACGTCACTACTCTCTAATGTAATTTTATTATAGATACAATCATGCATTTGCTTTACATTACATTACATTATGTTCCATCATGGCTTGCCAAGCATTGACTTAGTTTAAACATTTCATGAATTCATTCTATTTCTTGTATGGCTAAGTACATTCTTCATTCTTTCCATGTTAATTGCAGCATTGTAGGAAATCCTCTGATATGTGTCACCAGGTCCGAATCATACTGCAAAGGCATGGCTATGCTGCCTATGTCAATTCCAGTTGACACTTCAGGAAGTATGGATTTGTTATATGCTTTTCTTGCATATAATTTTGTTCGCTTAAAGCTTGTTTAGTAGTATTAAACGGTTCATTTTGCTTATATAAGAGCCATTTAGGTAAATTTATTTGACTTAAATGATTGAATCTTGAATTTTCTAAAAGTAAAGCTTTCCAGCCAATTATGTCTAATATTAGCAGAAATTAAGCTACCAAACAGAGCATAAGTAAGTAGAGCCTTTGACGTATGTGGTTGGCTGAATTTAATTCTATTAAACAATCTTTCTTTTTGGGAAAGATTGTTTACGTTAACTTTAATTTCTAGATAACCAGTCTTCTGTGATTCCTGCGAAACACAATAGCCCCAAGCTAGTCATTGCCTTAGGTTTAACCATTGGCTGTATAAGTGGCTCGTGTTTGGTTGGGTGGCCTTCAAGGCTTCAACCCTAAAAATGTACCTAATCCCAAATTTGAAGTAGTGGGGCCTGTGTCAATCCTATGGCCCTCAAACCTAGGATTGGTGCCTGACTTATGTTGGCCGTTTGATGTGGGCCCCACATATGAAGTGGTGGACCCATGTTGATCCGACCACCCTCCACTTATATAGAAAAAATAGATTTGTATTTCCTGTCGAAACCCACCTAATCCTACTTAGAGCAAGCCTAATCTTAACTCATCCCTAATCAGGCACTTTGTCATACCCTTCCACCTAGAGGAACATAGCGCTTTTTAAAATATTCAAAATTGATATTCTGAATTTTCAGGTTTACTACTTTTCTTAATTAATGATGGTCCATTTATTATTGGAAATTAATGTATCGTTTGGTTGCAACAGAAATACCAGGTTAAGAAAATTCAGAGAACCATGATACACTTGTGAACCAAGTAGGCTTGAGAGGCAAATATGATGAGATAGAGCTAGAGGAAATGGTTCAAGTTGCTTTTCTATGCACCCATTATCTTCGAGGCCTTTAGGCCCAAAATGTCTGAAGTGGTTCGAGTGCTCATAGGCCATGGGCTTGCGGAGAAATGGGAAGCATCTCACAAAGCAGAACAGTCACAGAAGTACGTGACGACACATGTTCTCATCATCGGAGCGTTTCTCAGATGTCACGAATGACTCTTCTGTGCTTGCTCAAGCCATGGAGCTCTCCAGTCCAAGGTGTGCCCTGAAGCCGAAGTGGATGCCAACTGGTTTTAAAGATCATGATTTTTTAGTACATAGAGTGAAGTGAGATTTTTAGAAGGCGGGCATATACATATGGCTAAAGAAGGCTGTCCCGACTAGAGTGTTTATTATGATGTTGCATAGGAGTGTAAGACGTACGAAATTAATGACATCAACTGGGTTTGGTTTTCCAAGTGAATGAGAACTTTGATAGATGACATTCTTTGTACAAGAAAACAATGATAATTTTAGGTTTGTTTATAACTAGACTAGATGATGAGAAAGGCTAACATGGGAAAATTTCAAGTGTTCAAGGTCAATCAATCCATTAGGGCATCCACATTGGTGAGATTTTTTTGGGATCATCTTGATGATGTGGAATATCTTTTTTGAGATTGTGGTTGAGTAGATAGATTATTTTGAAATATTATTTAGATAAAAAAATCTGGTATCAAATAAAAAGTATTGAATCCTAGATTATTCTCAAGTTCCAATAAACACATTTAATGCACCCATGTCTTTATTGGAATGTCTAAAATACCTCCTTGGAAATTACAAAAAATTCCATAAAAAACTAAATAAATAGAGATAAAAATTGAGGAAAAATTAGCAAGTGACATGACAAGAGAAAGACATGAAAAATAGAACATTTGAGTAGCATGAATGGACATGCTCTTAGATGCAACATGGATTGATGGATTCAGAAATTGGTGATGGGAATATGATGGAAGAATTAATACATTGAGATTGTGTCCGAGGAGCTTTGAAGGGTATAACCGTATACATTAATATTTAATACTCGTTTGATACTTGTAGCATCTACATTTGATACTCGTTTTGCCCAATTGCTAAGTTTGATAGACATTAATTCGTGTTTCATAATGATTCAACAATTATTATCTCTTAATTAGCGTAAGTTTATAAAACTTCAGAACATGATATAATTAGGTTGGCAGCCAACCTAGTGACCAAGTGCTAATGTTACAGCTTGATGACTCCAATGTCGAACAAAAACCACCAGACTCTTCATAAATATCCTATGACTAATGGATGAATAACTTTGCGCAATTAATGTATGGGTAAAAAAGATGTAATACTTTCATGGTGGCATTTTCGACAGTGCTTATTTGATTTCTCAACAACCGTTGCTTCCTTGGAAACACCATTACCTCTACTACCACTTCAACATCTATGACTAAAACGCTTTCTATGAATAAGTGCATATTCTGTTCTCAAGCAATACTATTGGGCACCAAACTTCAGGCAACACGCTTGGGAAGGCTAGTGCGTGTACACTCACACACTCAGTCCAAGGAAAAAGCTCCATTGCAATACCTGTCACTGAATTTCTCAACAGCATCGTTGGCATAGAGAAGAGTCTCATTGGCCTTTTCAAGGACCATGTAAAGTTCCATACCTCGTGTTAACCTAGCAATTACCCATGCCGTGTTTTTGGCTCTGATACATATTTCCTCGTCCTTTTCATTGCTTGGACCCTCACACTTTGATCTGTTTCTTTCCAGATCAACCTCTTCCCGGAGCTTGGTCATTGCAATTAAAGAGTCCTTAGTCAGAGTTGATACTTTTTCCGGAGGTGAAGCTCTTGAGATACATCGATCGCTGTCCACCAGCAAATAGCGGTACCCACTCACGTGGTATGCATTCTCCCCACCCCAACCTCTTGATAGTTTTTCTTCAACTTTGATTGCCTTAGCTGATGCTTGTTCTAAAATGTTCTGCTTCACCTCGGAAACCCCCCGCTCCCCATTGAGCACAGATGCAAAAGGAATGAGAAGCACGATAGTTAGGCTCTTATGCTGATAAGCACAAAGATATGCTCTTTCACCTGTCTGCTTAATCCAAACAGTTGGGGTAGCAAAATCTGATGTGCGAGCAACTTCAGCTCCCCAAAGGTCAGTTACAAGAAACCCATCTTTCCCCTTCGACCACTTGTCTGGCTGTAAGGGCCTCACAACATGATAACTGTGTGGAGAACTATTGTGTGAGGAGGCATTATGCTGATCAGGTATAAAACTAGAGCTTCCCAACAAAGAACCTCCAGAGTTATTAGATGAAGCATTTCCGTTTCGTAAATAAGACCAGGAGCGCAGTCCAGAAGACAAAGCATTTGGAGTCAGCCTCAAGACAGCATAGGTAAATATATTTACTAAGTCATCCTTAGAAAGTGTTGTTGACACCAGCAGGTCCTGGTACATGATCAGCGAATAGCAATTCGTGTTCTCAGCACAAGATTCCAACACCCTGACCAGTGACTGAACTTCAAGAGCGGCCTCCCTCCCAATAGTCAACATATGTACAGTACCTCGTTCCTTCAGGGAATCACGAAAATTTGGCAACTGAAGCCTCTTGCCAACAAGAAAATCATTTAAATAATCTATGAGGAAGTAATACAAGTGGGTCCTGACTAGTTCTCCGCTTGGTTCTTTGTCTAGCAATGCTCTTACAGATCCATGAAACATCACAAAAAGGGTGTGAAGTTCCATAAGAACTCTTTGTATTCCATCAATGCGCCGAATGCTTTCTAACTCCCTGCTTTTCTCGACCACCATAACCATCCAGATATCTGGCTCTGCCTCATAAAATACATGAGAGTGCATCTCTGCTTCTATAGTCTCGCATGGTTTCTCTGGGGAGAAAATTCTTGTAAACGTAATGAGGCCTTCACTTAAGCCAATAACAGAGAGCTGGTAGGAAAAGGGACAATCAGCAGGATAGAAGAACAAGATTTTGTCCAGCTCCTGCCCTTCATGCTGTCCCCTTCTCAAATCAAACATGCATAACTTCATCCCTACACTAGCAGTACTAACAGCTGACATTCCCATGCTAATAAACTCCAAGCTCCAAATTATTTGGCTTCTTGGGGCGGTCTTTTATATACTCTTCGATGACATATATCTCTTTCCAATTTTATTTGTATTATTTGGCCAGCTGTATCTTCCAAAAAAAGTAGAGGCGGTTAAACTAATTAAGCTCATATGAAGGGGAGATGATCTCTGAAGTACAATGAAGTCGAGGTCTGCAAAACAAAAAACATCATTTATTAGAAATATAATAAAGCCTTGTGTTTCTGTTTGGTTAGTTTTGACTCTATAATATGTTTCCGGTGTATGAACAAGTCATTAACCTTTATTTTTTTAAAAGCATTTGAGAAACCGCAGCAAGCCATTAACCTTTATTATTCAAGACTTAGCACACAATTGACATTTTCTTCTCTTTCACTGCAATTTCTAATTCCTTGTTTGCTGCAGTTGTAAAGTAGGGACTCTGCTGCAATTTGGATTTCTCTTGTAACAAAAAACAGTAACTAGTTGCTGCAATTGTTTAATACCAAAGCAAATATAGATTTTCGTGATTAAAGTAGATGCAATTGCTGCAGTTGGCAACCGCTACAAATATGATTGTCTACATTTTTCTTCCCATGCTTTTGTTGCAATCAAAACCAACCACAAATGAATTAAAAAACTGCTGCAAATAAAGGATATTACGGTAGTGATACACACACACACACGAATGTTCCTGTCCGACCAGGCCGGACAGGACCCTGGTCCGGCCGTCTCAATTTGAGGTGGTTCCCGGTGGTATTTTTTGCCCAAATTTTTTGTGTATGTTCCTCGTCAAGTCTAGTTCATCCATACCAAATTTGAGCAAAAAATTCAATCGGGAAGGCCATGAAATGATTTTTGCAAGTTAATTGCGTTTTATATGTATATTCCGGACCAGTTAACTTCCAAAAATCATTTGACGACCTTCCCGATTGAATTTTTTCCTCAAATTTGGTATGGATGAACTAGACTTGATGAGGAACATGCACAAAAAATTTGGGCAAAAAATACCACCGGGAACCACCTCAAATTGAGGTGGCCAGACCAGTCTCTCTCTCTCTCTCTCTCTCTCTCTCTCTCTCTCTCTCTCTCTCTCTCTCTCTCTCTCTCTCTCTATATATATATATATATATATATATATATATATCCCTTACTTGGAATACTACCTTTTCTTGTTTGAAATGTTGATTGATTATGAACCCCCAAAATTTCTGGCTTTTTTAAGAGGCAGTCAAGATTTGGAATTGCATTTCAGAATTGCTTAGGCTAGTAAGTGAGTAAGTGACTAAGTGTTAATAATGTGTGTGAATATTTGAGTCCCTCCTGGGACTAAAGCTAACAACTATTGATTATTATATAAACTGTGAGTAGTGGTGATAGAAAAAATGTTTATGTTTGTCTGGAGGCCCAGAAATTGCTAGACAAAAGAAGTAACAACGATGGGATATCTAAGGCCATATAATTTATAAGAAAAAACAGTATATGTAAGGGTAAATCACTGACAATTGCCCCTACTTCGTAGTGGCAAAGCTTTGATTGTAGTGTAAACAATTGTGGTGTGAAGAATTATGCATATGATGGATCACACTTAATCTCTGAATTTCAGGTAAGTTTTTGTTAAATAAGTTAAAATGACTGATGCGAAAACTTTGCACCCAATCTACTCTTCCGTTGACAAATTAAATGACCAAATAATTCTTTTGCAAGAATGATATTTAACTGATCTGAAAAAAAAAAGAAAAGCTTCTATCACAATTTAATTACATGAAAAATTGTGCGGATTTCTATTGAAAATTGTTCTGATAATTCAAATTAAATTTTACTCCTAGGGTATAAGTAGTTTATCCGTATCGCGGGAGAAATATATGTAGCATACCTGGGGAAGTGAAAGTTGAAGACTTCAAACTGGTTCGCACCTCGAATCAGGCCAAGCTCAGTCCTTATCTTCTTCCAGAATTCTTCTTCTTCTTCAAGGCGTAGAATTTACCCACACTTCTTGCGGCAGTTTCACAGCAGCAGAGGATTGCCTCTTGCCCGCTTGGAAATGTCGAATCAGCGTATTAGTCTAAGTGTCTAACCAACCCAGCCCAGCCCAAATGTTTTTTATTAGTATAGATATTGGTTTAATCCGGCCCATACCAAAATGTCCCGCCCCAACTTATTCCACAGCTCGCTGCGGCTCTGCCTCTTCATCTCTGTCCAGCCGTCCAGGACTCAGGTATACTCAGTGCTCTATTACTCTTTTAATATATTATTTTGTGACTTTTTGTATTATTATTTTTAGTTTTGTGATTATATTTGATTATTAATTGATTTTTTTCAGCAATAAAGTACTCTGTAGTGTTTTATCATTATAATGATTAAAGATATAATTAAAGATTAGAGAATGATATACGGAGTATATGTTATACAATTGAAGATTAGAGAATGATATATTTATTGTTTGGACATGTAAGAAAGAATTAAATATGGGTTATATGCATAGTTTTATTATGC